CTATACGTGCATACATTCTTAGGAAAAGGAGCTTCTGAATCCAAGGACAAGGACGTTCTGCTCATCTTACTAGTTAAAATCATTTCTCCTCATGGAGTAACTGGGGCTTTCTGATTTATTTTGTGGAACTTTAGTTTGTAGGAAAGCATATACATAGGGTTAAATCTTGTTGGTTTCTGCTCTGGAGAATGTTTCCAACATCCCTTTTTTCCTGGTAGTGTTCCAGGACTGGCTCCGATAGTCTTCAGTCTCTTGATAACTGTCTGATAACTGTCGCTGGTCTATCATCCTTAGGCTGAATGAGAGGCTTCCCAGTCAGATCAGCAATGTCAACAGTTTGGGGAGGGTTAAATTCAATGTAGTTCATTGGCTAGATGAACAACAAGCAGTGAAGTGTTTTTTAAATGACCTCCAAGGGCACATACAAGTTAATCATTGTACCTATCTGTTAAGCTCATCTAGGCCTTCTGCCTATAGCAGTGTCCTTGGAAAACCACCTATATTAGGTAAGATTTTTCGGTTCATGAAGGGCCAAGTCGTCACGCCATTTGGGATGAGTTTCCTTCGGTCAAGAAAAGCCTTGGCTAACATACCAATTTCTGTGCCCTGTAGCAAGTTGTCCTGGAGCAGTGCCTGCTAGAGAGGCACCCCAGCTTGAAGTGCTTGGTGATGTACAATAACACAGTGCCCTTGCCTAAGCCCAGGGCTGGGGCCATAATGATCACTGCATGCAGTAGCTGCGGGGATGCCCCCGCAACCATGGACAGAGGCCTAGGCCGTGCCAACTGTAGGGCTTTGGTCTGGCCTGTGCGCTCACCTGATCCACAGCCAGGGTACTAGGTGGCAGAAAGCACTTTTAATTTTATTTTTCCAAGTTAATCAGTGCTTTTCTTTCCGCTATAAAATGTGCTCTCTTGGAAACAACTCAAACATTCACCAATTAGTAAATGGATAAACACATTTTGGTATATTCATGCACTGGAATGTTACTGAGCCATAAACATAAATGAAGTACTGATAAATGCTACAATATGAATGAACCCTAAAAACATTGTGTTCAAAGAGGCCAGATACAAAGGGCCACCTTTCGTATGATTCCATTTATATGAAACACTCAGAATAGGCAAATTTATAGGGGCAGAAAGCAGATTCGTGGTTGCCAGGGCTAATGGAGGAAGAAAGGGGAATGACTGCTAATGGATGTGGGAATTTCTTTTGGGACTAGCTAACTGTAGGGTCACTTTTTTTATTGTGGTAAAATACACATAAAACTTACTGCTAGTGACATTTACTATATTCACAATGTTGTACCACAGTCACCACTATCTAGTTCCACAATATTTTTATCACCCCACATGTAAGCTCTCTTTTGGTCTTTGAAGGTGAAAAATATCACTAGAATATATCTGAGGGAGGAATATCTTAGTTCATCAGTCAGGTTTAGTACTCAGTATAACTTAGTCCGAAAGTTAAAAATTTTTTTTATGCCCAAAGAAGTTGTCTTATTTGATTACTGCTTTCTCCATCTGTTCCTTCTGGAACTCCTAGAATTCCTGTATCTTCTTTCACTGTCTTTTATCTTCTCACTAGTAGCTTCCTTTTCTTTGCATTTCTGTTTTGTATCATGAGGCAACTTTCTGTTTGATCTTTTTAAGTTTGATTTTTAAGAGTATCCATTCTATTTTTTAATTCAATTGAAAGTCAAAAACTGTAAAACCATGTTTTTCCCCCTTCAAACATAGGGTATTTTTAAGTTCCTCCCCACTTTTTTTTTTGAGACAGAGTCTCACTCTGTAGCCCAAGCTGGACTGCAGTGGTGCAATCTCAGCTCACTTACTGCAACCTCTGCCTCCCAGTTCAAGTGATTTTCCCGCCTCAGCCTCTGGAGTAGCTGGGCCACCGTGGCCAGTTAATTTGTTCCCTTCTATTTCTTACATTAAATTTGCCTTACAGGAGCCATTCATTTTGGCTGTTTAGCTTGGTTTTCTGCTCCTCAAACTACTGGGTTTTTTTCTTTCTTTTTTTCCTGAGACAGGGTCTCACTCTGTCAGGCAGGCTGGAGGGCAGTGGTGCAATCTTGGCTCACTGCAACCTCTGCCTCCCAGTTCAAGCGATTTTCCCACCTCAGGAGTAGCTGGGACTATAGGTGTGTGCCACCACACCTGCGCTTGGCTAATTTTTGGGTTTTTTGGAAGAGATGGGGGTTCCATCATGTTGGCCAGGCTGGTACTGGGTTTCTTTTAATTTTTTATATGATCTTTGCCCACTTCTATCAGCTGCCACCGGTTCCTTTAGCAGTTGTGGAGTCAGATTGTTGGACTCTTCTGGGCAGCAGATGATTGACAGGTGGTGAAAGCTAAGATAGGAATTCTTCAGTCAGCTGACAATGAGAGCCATGCTCAGGGCTAAACAGAAAGCAAGCTCAAGCAGTTTCCCTAGTTACTGGGCTATGCGACTTGGCTCACCTGACTGGGCCACTGTCTTTGCCACAGGCTTAGCCATGAATCAGGCAACTTTCCAGGCTGCTGGGCTGCCCTTCCTCCCAGCTTTGTAAACAATGAGGACAGAAGGTATCCAGAGGCAAAACTGCTAAATTGTCTCCTCAGAAGCCCAAAGCCTAATATGTGCTTAGCATAGACTCACTCCAGGTTCCACACTATGGTTTGCACCACCACATCTACACCCTACCTATATTTCGGCCATTTTTCTTTGTAGTTGAACCACCCCAGGAGGAAATTTAGATTGCCAGGGAGTTATAGAAACATACCTAAGCCATCATCTTACAAAAACTTCATTAAGGTAATTCCCTTTTTATAGTACATTGTCTGAAGATGCTTATTTATGTAATGGAAGCTTAAATCTTAGGAATATAAATCTTATTGATGAGCGCAGCCCCAACTATGGCCCAGAGAGATGGAAGGACTCATGCCAGGATTAGAGATTGGCCTTTTATTTCTTAACATAGGGATCTTTTCAATACATAGACCCATGGCTACCTTTAAAAATTCCATCAGCTCACACCTGTAATCCCAGCACTTTGGGAGGCCAAGGTGGGTGGATCATGAGGTCAGGAGATCGAGACCATCCTGGCCAACATGGTGAAACCCTGAATCTACCAAAAAATAAAAAAATTAGCTGGGCGTGGTGGCGCATGCCTGTAGTCTCGGATACTTGGGAGGCTGAGGTTGCAGTAAGCTGAGATTGTGCCACTGCACTCCAGTCTGGCGCCTGGTGCCTGGCAACAGAGCGAGACTCTGTCTCAAAAAAAAATTAAATTAAATTGAAAAAAATTCCATCAGTATATTCACCTGCATAGCTGTTTCTTCTCCTGCTCCATCTAGTCCAATTCCTTTTCTGGATATTAGGCTAAGTCTCTTTATTCCCTTCACCTCGCGTTTATTCCCTCCTGAAATTTAGTCTGCATATTTCCTACCTGCCTTTCAAGATCTCTCTTTCTGTGCTTACAGTGAGGGGGTATGCCAGAAGTAGTAGTAGTGTTCAGGAGGGAAGCCTAGGAAAAGTAAGGACAGAGGACATCTGCCAAAATTCGGAAGCATCTCCAGGAACCCTTTGCCCTAGGATTTGCCTTCTTGTCATTAGCACCGCTCATCTTTTCCCCTGGGTCAAGTATCTTAGCACTGACTGGATTCTCAGATCCCTCTTTATACTCTCCTTCATTCTACTTTTCTTTCCTCCCTGCTCTCTTAGCACTCCTATTCCAGTGCTCTTCCCTTTCTTTAAAGCTCCTGAATCACAGCAAGGGTAGGAAAATGGAATTAGAGCAGTCCCACTATCCATGGTTTTATTTCTCTGTGGTTCAAAAACATTAAATAGAAAATTCCAGAAATAACAACTCATAAGTTTGAAATTGTGTGCTGCTCTGAGTTGTGAGATAAAATCTTATATAATCCTGCTCCATCCTGCCTGGAACATAAATCATCCCTTTGCCCAGCATAGCCATGCTGTATAACCTACCTGCCTGTCTGTCACTTAAGTAACGGTCCTGGTTATGAAGTGGACTGCCCTAGTATTGCAGTGCTTTGTTCAAGTAACCCTTATTTTACTTAATAATGGCCCCAAAGTACAAGAGTAGTGATGCTGGCATATTGTTATAATTGTTCTATTTGATTACTAGTTATTGTTGCTAATCTTTTACTGTCTAATTTAAAAATTAAACTTCATCATAGGCATATCTATCTATCTATCTATATACATATAAACACAGTATATATATATATATGATTCAGTACTAACTGCAGCTTCAGGGATCCACTGGGGATCCTGAAACATACTCTGCAGATAAGGGTGGGCTAGTGGACAAAGATCTGGACGTTCATTCACGTGCCACTAAGAATCATCACACAGTGAAAAGCATACCACACTCTGGAAGGCTCTGATCAACTTTTTATGCTTCTCCTATTGCAAAACAGAAAATATTAATAGCTTCAAAATGAATGGCTATAGCATTCCCTCAGTATCTTAATTTATAGACTAGGGTTATGTTTTCTAGTATAAAACAGCATTCTGACAACATGGGGAGGCAGCAAGGTGTAGTAGCTAAGAATTAGATTGAGTTCCAATTCCAGCTCCTTCATATACTAGCTATGTGATCTCCTGCAAGTTATGTAACTATAAGTTGTCTCATCTATGATAGACTTTAGCATATCATAAGAGCTTAAGAAAAAGAAAACATTCATATTCATGTTACTGTCACATGCAATCCTTATTCCTTGTCTTAAATCCATGAAAAACCATCATAAATGCCATTTTGTGTTTTAGAAAATGTTGATATAATATTTAATAAGCTTGCTGCTGCCCAGGTTAATATGCATCTAACCTCCTCTTAAATTTTATTACCAAAGAATGTTTTAGTGGACAATGTCTCTAAGGTTAAATGAGGATACTTATAACCAGCCTTTTTAAAAATTAAATCACACATTGAGGATAAACACACACACACACACACACACACACACACACACGAATCTGATATTTCTTACCAAGACAGTTTGAAGCATCAACTTGTTCTTTCAAAAAATCAACACACATTTTCTTCACAGGTTCAATCTGATATTGGTTTGCTGCATCCAACAAAGACTGAACATTGTTGCTATTCACAGAAATTCTGCAAATAAGTTACAGGAAATATTAATTACCCATGATTTTTATTTAAATGTTCCTGTGGAATGTACTCTAACAGCCCCTGAAATTAAACACAAAATTAAACTTTCAGTCCTTGAATTAGTATGGTATAGGATACCCAAACTCTTCCATCCTTGTGGTTTTTTGTTCTGAAGAGTTTGTAGCACACCAATTTGTTACAGCAATGCTTTGCCATGGTAGATACCAATATTACTTTTTTGAAATAAAAATCATCTTTGTTAACTCACCTAGCAGTATAAGCAAATTCCACAAGTTGTTCAATAATATCAGGTTCAGCATCTTTGAGTTCTACTTCAAAAGACTTTGATTCAAGCATGTTAGCTACAATGAAGAGAAAAAACATAAATGGAATGTGTCATCTTCCTAGCTTTTAAAGCGGTTAAGAACTTAAGGCCACAGAACAGTGAAGAGATTGAAAAAGTGGTCAGTTGATAATCAAAGGAAAAAATATGCTTTCATTAGACCTAAAGGCCTGATGCCTTTATTGTTATTGTTAAATGTGGAAAAAAATAACAGGACCGTTCTGTCTGGAAGAAAATACCCCGGCAAGCCCAACATTCCTATAGTAAATGCAAATTAATTCTCCACACAAAATGTGCCTTAAATTAAGCTAAGAAAATAGTGAATTAATGTATTTTTTTAAAGCCCATATTAACAGAGACATAAAACTAAATTTTGTTTTTTTCCCAAGCTCATAAAATAGCATTAGGTAGAGGAAATAGGACTTGGACCCAGTTCTTAACACCAAATCCAGGGTTCTTTCTAGCACAATAAGCTGTATCTTTTTTTTTTTTTTTTTTTTTAAGTTTAGCTTGCAGGCTCAAATGTCATGAGATTTATCTACCTCTTTGCCTTTCCACCTGATGTTAAAAAGAAAACCCTGGGCTTTTTTTTTTTTTGCCCAGGTTGGAGTGCAGGGGCATGATCTCAGCTCACTACAACCTCTACCTCAACCCTGGGCTTTTAAGTAGAAGCTGTACCTCCATCAATAAAGGCATCAGGCCTTTAGGTCTAACGAAAGGACATTTTTTCCTTTGATTATCAGCTGACCACTTTTTCAATCTTTTCATTGTTCTGTGACCTTAAGTTCTTAACTTTAAAAGCTAGAAAAATGACATATTCTCTTAGATTTTAGTTCATTCTCATAGAAGAAATAATGCCATGTTTTCCCTTAAGATACTTACTTGTGAACATTAAGTTAAAAAAATGACTGGCTGCAGCAAGAACAACACGATGAGCAGGTATCTTTCTTTCCTGGACCATGAGGATCACATCACACAATGTTTTCTAATCAAAGGAAAAATACAGAAAATAAATAGAGGCTCACTAGCCTAGCTTGGCAATACATATTAAAAAGGTGCTTGCCAAATGCCTTATTTCTATTTTCTATTTAAAGCCAATCTTTTTCCAGCACAGACTTTCTTTTAAAGATATATTTAGGAAGGACTTAAAGATATATTTAGGAAGGACTTGCTGACATTTAGTATAAAAATTCGGCACTAAGTTTCCCAACAGTCAAGAGGAAAGAAAAAGTTCCTCATAATCAGAAACAAACAAGTCTACTAATCCTTCAGAGAAGTCTTTTTTTTTTTTTTCTGACACAAATTCTAAGATAATTTCTCATGGTAAACTTTTCTGGGGAAATGAAATGACATCATCGCAGTGCCCCTGATAGTTTTTCAAACACAGCAATTAGTTTTTATAGGATTTATTTTAAATTATTTATCCTTTGTGAAATCCAAAACATACTCTACATTTCCTAAGAAAGTAGCATTCACAGATCTAACCTGAAACAGAAACAGCTCAGAATACAGAGAGTAGATGAACTAAGTGTCTCTTTAGCAATCTTTCCTTAAATAACACTTCTCTCAAATGCACTTCTGATAGAAGTTGGATAGCAGCCAGTTTTAAATTGTGATTTCTGACCAAGGCCAAAATAGTATCACCCTCAGCTGCTTAAAAAAAGCAGCTCTGAGTAAATACTTAATTAAAATGTGGGGAAAATGGAATAATAAAGAAAAACATTTAAGGCTTACTAGAACCGTTAAAAATGAATATCAAGGAAAAAAAGTCCTTTTTGCCAAATAAAATTTTAATTTCTTAACGAAGTTAAAGATAAAATATAAAGGTCAGGCTTATAGAAAACTTAGCACATGCAATATGTTAAGCACTGTCCTAGGCACTGGGAATATGAGGGAAATAATATATTCGGAGTAAAAAAAAATCACAAATCTAAGATTGGCTTCATGGCTCAGTGGATTTGCAAATTTTAAGTATTTTACTAAAACTGTTAATATAATTTGAAAGAGAAAACCCTGTTATTTCTTACTATATTATTTTGTGAAGAAAAATCAAAACAAAATAATAATGTTTAGAATGATAGAGAAAATAAGCCCCAAACAGCAGGCTAACAAATGAACAAAATTTCACTTTTACAGCTTATTTGAAGATTTTTAAATAAGGTCTACTGACTATTATTTAAAATTTATACACGGAGTTATAGCTAAAGCTATATTTATTCTCATAGTGTCTTGAAGTTTTAAATTTTATTTCCTTTCATTTGGGGAGGGACACAGAGGTGGAGCTCTCAGGTGATTTTGCTACATATTACACCAACAAATACCAAGTAGCAGAACCAAGTTAACTATTTGATTACCACCAAAAAGCAAGCGATTAAGTTGCCTTGGAGGTCGGGGGAGGGAGAGAAGGAGAGGGAGAAAGGGGTGGGAAGTGACGAATAAAGATGATAAAGCAGCAAGCAACTCAGATTATATCAGATCATAGGAAAGGAATCTATGGCTAGTGATGGGAACTTTTTTTTTTTTTTTTTTGAGACAAAGTCTCGTTCTGTCACTCAGCCTGGAGTGCAGTGGTATGTTCAGCTCACTGCAACCTCCACCTCCTGGGTTCAAGCAATTCTTCTGCCTTAGCTTTCTGAGTAGCTGGGACTACAGGCACCCGCCACCACACCTGGCTAATTTTTTTTTTTTTTGAGACAGAGTCTTGCTCTGTTGCCAGGCTGTAGTGCAGTGGGGCAATTTTGGCTCACTGCCACCTCTGCCTCCCGAGTTCAAGCGATTCTTTCGCCTCAGTCTCTTGAGTAGCTGGGATTACAGGCATGCACCACCAAGTCCAGCTAGTTTTCGAATTTTTAGTAGAGATGGGGTTTCACCATGTTGGCCAAGATGGTCTCAATCTCTTGACCTCATGATCCGCCCATCTCGGTCTCCCAAATTGCTGGGATTACAGGCATGAGTTACCGCACCCGGCCGGTCATGCCCGGCCAGTGTGTGTGTGTGTGTGTGTGTGTGTGTGTGTGTGTGTGTGTATTTTTTTTAAGTAGAGTCGAGGTTTCATCATGTTGGCTAGGCTTGTCTTGAACTCCTAACCTTGTGATCCACCTGCCTCGGCCTCCCAAAGTGCTGGGATTACAGGCATGAGCCACCATGGCGATGAGAACATCTATGAAACATAGGGCTAAACCAAAATACAGCAAAAACATCTCCAAGGCATACTCAATGATAGAGAGTTTATAAGAATGACTTTATAGGCACTGAAGGAGGTTGAAGAAATGCAGATCTTTATATAACAAATGAGTTTTAGTCTAAGATCAATCTCCAGCTGGATATTAATGTTTTGAGGAGTGGGGAGATTAAGTGGGAGAAATCTTTTGTATCTAAATGGTACACTTATTTGCCTGTACTACAACAGACTGATAATTTCCAATAATAATGGGACTGACCTATAGCAAAAGGCCTCTCCTGTTATCAATATGCTCAAAAAAGGTACATCCAGACAAGAAATAGGGACTGGGTGTGGTTGCTCACATCTGCAATCCCAGCACTTTGGGAGGTCAAGGCAGGTGGATTACTTGAGCCCAGGAATTTGAGACCAGCCTGGGCAATATGATGAAACTCTGTCTCTACCAAAAAAAAAAAAAAATTAGCCAGGTGTGGTGGTGTGTGCCTGCAGTCCCAGTGACTGGGGGAGGTAGGTGGTGCTGAGGTAAGAGGATCACTTGAGCCTCGGAGGCAGAGGTTGTAGTAAGTAGGGATTGCATCACTGTATGCCAGCCTGGGTAATACAGTGAGACCCTGTCTCAAAAAAAGGAAAGAAATAAAAGAAAGATACAAAGAAATAAAAAGAAATGGAAAGAGACAGAGACCAAGCAAAATTGAAGAATTTGAAAGGTAACAAATCCTTGGTGAGTTGAAGAGTGAGAAACCTGAAAACAAAAACCTAACTTCTGAACAATACATGTTCACTGGTTAAACCGACGGGAAAAAAATTCCTGCAATTCTTCTGTCCATGTCCCCTCCCATATGTACCCTTGTATTTATGATCGTTATCTGTATTTTCTTTAGTCTCTTATAAACAGTATAGATTTTGTTGTGACTTAGTCTGAAGTTCTCATCATCTAAAATTACTGGTAGCGTTTTATTTCAATCCTTTATACTCATCGTAACATGTTTCATCGTATATATGTCATCTTCTTGTATGCTATTATCAATTTTGCTGTCTTTTTTGCTTTAACTGACAGTCGATGTATCAGTTGCTATTTTGATCATTTTCTTTGCACATTTTTTATACATCTTTCAAATATTTCTAAACTGAATCCAGAAGGGCATTAATCAAATATCACCCTAGGAATGCAAAGAGGGCTCAAGAACAATGATTCTATTAATGTGATTCATTATATTAGTATGCTAAAAGAGAAAACCTTAATGTAGAAAAACTTTAATAGATGCCAAAAGGGTGTGTGATAAATTAAAGATTCATTTCCTAAGACTCTTTAATAAATAAAATGATTGGTCTGTATGCTGAAGATCAATAGCAGTAAAAAACAGGCAAATGATTGAGTCATTTACACTAGAGCCTGGGTGACAGAGGGAGACCCCATCTGAACAGACATTTCTCAAAACAAGACATGTAAATGGCTAACAAACATGAAAAATTGCTCAACATCACTAATCAGGGAAATGCAAAGTAAAACCACAATGAGGTATCGTCTCGCCCCAGTTAGGATGGCTATTATTAAAGACAAAAATTAACAAATGCTGGTGAGGATATGGAGAAAGGGAATCGATTCCTACTCCACCTTTTTCTGAAAAAGGGTCTCACTCTGTTACTCTGGCTGGAGTCCAGTGGCATGATTCTGGCTCACTGCAGTCTCAACCTCCTGGGCTTCAGAGATCCTCCTGCCTCAGTCCTCCAAGTAGCTGGAACTGCAAGTGAGTGCCACCATGCTTGGCTAATCTTTTGTAGAGATGGAGTTTCACTATGTTGACCAGGCTGGTCTTGAACTCCTGAACTCCAGTGATCCATCCACCTTGGCCTCCCAAACTGCTAGGATTTGAGTCACTACGCCCAGCCAGAAAAGGGAACTCTTATAGATGTTGGTGGGAATGTAAACTAGTACAGTCAATATAGAGAACAGTATGGAAATTACTCAAAAAACTACCTATGATCTAGCGATCTCACTGCTGGACATTTATCCATAGGAAAGGAAATCATTATAACAAAGAGATATCTGTACCCCCATTTTTACTACAGCACTATTCACAACAGTCAAGATATAGAGTCAACCTAGGTGTCCAATGACAGATGGATAAAGAAATGTGGTATATATACACCATGGAATACCATTCAGCCATAGCAAATAATGAAATCCTATCTTTCATGGCAATATGGATGGAACTAGAAGACATTATGTTCATTGAAATAAGCTAGGAACAGAAAGTTAAATACTACATGTTCTCCCTCATATGTGTAAGATAAAAAAGTTGACCTTATCTAAGCAAGAAGTAGAATAGAAGATACTAGAGACTGGAAAGGAGTGGAGAAAGGGGAGGGGAAAAGAAGGGACAAGGAGAGGTTTGTTAAAAGACACAAAATTACAGCTAGATGAAAGGAAAACGTTCTAGTAGTCTATATCACTGTAGGGTGACTATAATTAACAATAATATTAGATTCAGGCTGGGAACAGTGGCTTATACCTATAATCATCCCAGTACTTTGGTAGGCTGAGGCAGGATTGCTTGAAGCCAGGACTTCAAGACCAGCTTGGGCAACATAATGAGATCCTGGCTCTACTAAAAATAAAAAATTAGCCAGGTGTGGTGGCACACGTCTGTAGTCCCAGTTACTTGGGAGGTTGAAAAAGCAAGATCACTTGAGCCCAGGAATTTGAGGTTGCACTGAGCTATCAGCCTGGGTGACAGAGCAAGACCCTGTTTCTCATAAAATAATAAACATTAGATTCAAGAAAGAAGATATTGAATGTTCCC